GGGTGGCTGGGCACCCCTGGGCTGTGCCAGCCCCAATCCCCTTGGCCACCACCATCCTAGCAAGTCGGAGACATCCCGTCTGCGGGAGATGTGTCCTTGCGGTGCCATCCTGGGGTGCTGGGAGCCCAGGCAGCCCCCTGCTCTGGGGTTCCTGAACAGATGAGCCCCTGCATGGCTTTAGTGTCCCTCTTGCAGGTGCTCCCCATCCCCAAGTTCATCACTGTGGTGTCCCATCTGGAAGGTGTCCGTGGGGTCACGCAGGTCCATTGTACCACGTGTGCTCTGAGAGTGAGGATGCGGAACTGGAAGCAGTAACACCTCGGGGAGGCATGTGGGGAGTGGGGTTAAACCTGGCCTACTGCTGCACCCTGGCCCCCAGCCTGCTGGCGGGGCGCCCGGCACCCTGGGCAGAGGCTTCCGGTCAGAATAAAACACCCGTGGGGCAAATCCCTGTCCTTGAGTTTTCCCTGGTGCCAGCCACAGACAGGCTCCTGTGAGGCTCAGCCTGTGGCTTTTGTTTCTTTTTTCCTTTTCCATCCTAAACAAAGAGAGAAATTTGCTTTCAGCTTCTGAAGTGGTATGTTAGATGGGGATGAGGTTAAGAGAGCCATGTGTAGCTCGGGGCTCGCCCTGGTGACTTCCCACCCTGGTTGGTGACACCTATCACCCAGGCATGACATTGCAGCGTCTCCCTGCTGGGGTGTGACACACTCCCTACCTCCTTCTGGGGCTGAGCAGTGCTCCCCGGACTTGGGGTGCCCTTCCTGGCCCCAGTGTGCCTCTGCGATGGGCACCGAGGAGGACAAGGAGGTAGGGCTGAACAAAGAGCTGCTTTGGGAGGGCACACCACCCCCCTGCGGTGGTTGTAGGGGTGTGTAGAGGGGCTGTGGTGGGGCTGGGGCTGCAGAGGCCAAAGGAGGCTGGCGGAGGGGCCTGCTGGGCCACAGGACGGTGCCTGTGGGAAGTCAGTGGCCACCTTGTCCTGCCTCGCTTCTCTGGGGGGGTTGGACATTCATGGGGCCAGGGGAGAGCCCTCTTGGGGCCTGGGGAAGCACAACTCTGCACGCTGACGTCTCCTCTGTGCAGCGCTGAGCTTTGTCGGGACTTG